GTTGTCTCCTGAGATGTCTGGAACTAAGCACAGATGACTCAAAATGTTAAAAACCCAGTAGTTTATTTCAAAGTATAAATTTCAGGCTTGTCAGACAAAACCCCACTACAATTAACACAGACACACACACACACTAATCTACAGTACATACAAAAATGGGGAGAGCTTGCAACTGCCCAGTTTAAACTGGACATTAAATCAGTCCTACATTTTTTGTATTTACAAGTCCAGCTGCAAAACCAGAAATCAGATTCTGAGTTTCCTAACAAAAGATTTTGCATGTTTGACTCCCAATAGCCAATAAATTACTAAAGCTGAACAGAACTCCCCAAACAGCTACTACCCAGTTGTCTTATTTACAGCTATACCCCCTTAAATTAAGACAGCACTTCAAATATATATATGTGTGTGTATATATATATATATATAAAAAAAAAGAAAAAAAATGCTCAGCCTGCGTAATGATAATGAGAAATAAAGATGCATTTTAACAGGTACTTAGAAGGGATGAAAAGGAAAATTCATTCATTTGCTTTCTCTTCGCTATCATTTTTTTCTTTCTCCCCTCAGAAGGTGTTTGGAAGAGAATACAGATTTTGGTGGCAGGGCTGGCTCAGTGTCATTTGAACTCCTCTCCCTCCAGTGTTTTCATACAATGCCCACCCCTATCCAAACCAACAAATTAAAAAAATATATATTTAATATATCAAGCTTTATTTAAAAAATCTGGATAGATATTTTTGATTAAATGAAAATACTAAAGAGTTTATAAGAAGGCAGAATCACAGCTTGATTTTGTACAGTGTATGCGATACTCTAATACTGGGGAATGGCTGTTTGGGGAGCAGGAACAGATTTGACCTGTCCCTACATATAATACAGTTTCTAATTTATTGGACATTTAAGACAAACAGCATAAAGGAAGGGCTGAAGTGGCTCTTTTTGTTACAGTACAAAATGGTGCTCACATCATACTATTGGGCCCAATCGTACTTCCACTGAAGGCACGAGGGGTTTTACCGTTGTTTTCAAAGGAAGCAGGGTAAGACCCCTTATTTTTACAGGGAAGACATCATGGACATTTCCAGCCTTGTGCTAAAACCCTTGGGCTAGGCGAGTGTCTCAGTGCTTGTGCTCAGTGATCTAACATGGCCAATGGTAGCACAAATAATTCGAAGGAGCAAAGTCCAAGACCAACTGCTACTCCTAGGGAAGCTGGTCAGAGCATGGAAATAAATACAGGCTGAGCGGAACCTGCCTCTGCACCCTCACAGTTTCTGACGCTGCCACTGCAGATGCAGTAGAGATACTATACCTACAGTCCGCCCCCTTCCTAGCGTTCAGTTATTTGAATCCAATAAAGCTTTTTTAGACATACACTAAAATAACGGAGGCCAGTGAAGCTGTGACTAGGAGGAACACAGTGGAAGGGAATGGCATTTTGCCACAGCAGGGCTCCTCTTCAAGCAGAAATGGAACTAACTCAAATTACTTTCAGTCTGGACATCCAGATGCCCTTGTATCACACAGAGAAAACAAACCAAACCTAAAACAAACCAGAAAGTAAATGAGGATGGAAAACACAGCTGCAGAATCAGTGCTGTGTTTGCTAAAACACAGGGAACTAGGTCTGAGGCGGTACTGCTGAAGTGTCATGTACCCAGTGACAACACAAAACACTAAGGAACGACTTTGTACCAGGGTACTGAAAGTAAGATGGGAAAACTTGCATGAAGTGCAGAGAAGAAACTAAAACCAGCCCTTCCACTTAAAAGCCGTACAGAGATTCTAGCATATTTAAAAGTGGATTATTGGAAGCCTCCAGCAACTAACACTTTTATGAAGAGCCCAGTCTAGAAGCACGGTGCTAACAGACCTGTACTGAATATTCCCGGATATTTTGGTAATACTTTCAAATAAAGTCTATTAAATGAAATAAATTATTTCTGAATGTTTGTTGCTAGCAGAAATTTAGTTTCTCAATAGTTTTATCGTTTCTGACAAGTAAAGGATAATAAAATTAACCAGCCACCCCACAACACAGGGAAAAGTGCCAGGAGTTAAAGAATTAAGCAATACTCCTGTTTGTTAGCGTAAGGGGTGAATACTCACTGCAGAGATCTGCTCCACCATGAAAATGATTTTGCAGAAATGGCATAGTTCTCTCTTTGTGTGTCAGTGATTTAAGAACTAGCTACCTTTAAGGTCTCCAAACTAAGCTAGGCATTTGAAAGTCAAGCCATACTTTATCACGTATTTTGCCACCACTACTTGCTTAACATCCTGAAATTGGACCTTTAGCAGCTCTGCTGGGATGAAACAAAAGAGAAGTCGGCTTTTCACCCCACAGCTGCGATGGCTTCAGTCAACAAACGGTAGCTAGCTTATTTAATCTATTCACAAAAAATCAACTGCGCTCTGCCGTACATAGCAGAAATGGATCTATTAAGCCACAAGCCAAGTTTTACAATCAGCTCAGTGGAGAACTACATCTTTCTTTAGTAAATAGAGTCTTCTTTCTCTAAAGATACAGCCCACAAAACCTCCAAACACAATACCAGACCGCCCCTAATAACACCTCCATTGGAGGAAAGAAAAAAATTCTAACACAGGACTCTTACCCCCCGCCTATCCCAAGCAAGACAAAGCTAAGAACAATCATGACCTAAACGCAAGCACAAACTATAGAAAAGCTCATGTATAGTTTGGGCTGGAATCACAATTAAATAAGCAGCATAAGTTCTAGGTTGTATTCTAATATTTATTTTAACTTTCAAACTATAAAACCTCATTGTACTGATACGGCCAACGGCCCTTTGGTACCACCTCAAAGACACATTAAAAAAAATTGCCCAAGGAGGACGTGACAGCCATCAACTGGAATGAACTGCTCTAACCTCTAATACAGAACTGGCTTTATAAGGACCCAACTTTCCATAAGTAGACTAAATGCATTATTAAGTAATTATTCCTTGAAATAGGCAGACAAAACATTTAACTAAACATAGAAAAATTCAAAGCATTATTGATTATTGGCACCAGTAATACAGGGACAACTGTTATTCAAGGGAAAGGTTACACAGCGTTCAGACACGAGATTCAGTGTGAACCTTCTCTCATGATACTTGGATTCAGACAGAATTTTTGCTCGCCCAAATCAATAAAACTGCTGTACTTTAAATGCAATTTTCCATACAGAAAATATTCGTTACTCACCTGACAGAAGTGACAATCCCAGCTACATGAAGAGTGCAGTAAAATAGTATAGACAAAAGTCTACAATGCAGTTTCCTTCACCGATAGAAGTTCTTGAAGGGAACACAACTAAAGAACCCATAATCTCATAACATGTTTCACCAGCCATGCTTTGGCATTTAATTTTTCCTGCCCTTTTTCAACCTTGCTTTACATTTTAAAATGTTGGTTTTAAGAAAGAGAGCACTGAAATAAAAAAAAAAAAAAAGTTATCTTCTACAGCTTTGCTATGGTTCTGCTGAATGACACTGATGTCCTTGTTCTGAAAAGTGCCAAAATAAAAATATTTTCCACCTCTTTCACACAAAGAAAGGGAAAAAAAAAAAAAAAAAAAAAAAAAGACTCTTTCTCACCAAATTCTAAATCCACTGTTTGGTTCTGCTGGGCAGGAATGACACTGATGTCCTTGTTCTGAAAAGTGCCAAAATAAAAACCTTACATATATACTTTCTTGTCCAGGTGCGTTACAGTTTGGTTCTGCAAAAAGCAAGTTTAACATGTCAACGACAGTGGGGCAGATGCACCAATTTCTCTTCTCAGCTCAGAAGCATCATGAAAGCGTCTATTAACGTTTGCAATTGCTCACAAGTTTTAGGCCAGTGTCTAAAATTGTTTCTAAACTGCTCTGGGTGTGTTAGCTTTCTGCAGAAGCAGGCGCGTGACTGAGATAGAGAAGAGCACTGGGAAGCCAACTTCCTATCTTTTTGTACTAACTGAACATCCAAACTAAGTGCAAACAGCTAGAAGCTTTCATGGTGCCACGCCACAGAGGATTCTTCTTTGGCTGAACTGCAGCATACAGCTTTCCCAAAAGAACAGGGAAAGGCTCTGGTGGAAAATACTGTCTGTATACTCTAATATTCTTGACAGGACAAAAACAACTACTCAAGAATTACAGTGACGAAAGGGTTGAACGATACTGCAGATAAAAATGAATCCAGCATCAGCAGATGTTACACTTCCTGGTCTTTACAGAAATAATAATTACTGCAGGCCAGGAAAATGAGAAGCAGTAATGAAAGGCTAGAAGGGTAAAGGGAAAAATAACTCCAAGCAAATAAAAGAACACCACAAGGTATCTGGCTACATTTATTTCTGAAATTATTCTTTAAGGCACAAAATAAATCTAAAAAATAGGGCTGGATGTATGAGGGGAGGGGCAGAGAAATTATCTGAGCTAGGGAGGTGTGAATGCAGTCTCTACAATCCAGTTTTAGATCTGACCTGGGAACGCTCCCAGTGTGAGTGGGGGAGGATGGTGAAAGTAGAGGAGCGTTCTTATTTAGGAGAGGTAGGAGGTAGTGGGGTGATTTATTTTTTTCCCCCCTCCACCTCCAAATTTACACACATATTGGTTCCCTGGCCAGACTCAAGTTCCCTTCCCTCCCCTCAGAGAGCTCATTACAGTTTGTAAAATAAGACCAGACCACTCAATCTTCCAGTACAAAAGTGAGACCTTGAATCACCCTTCATATCACAGCCTGCTCACAGAGCGGTGGGGGGCAAGAGGCAAATCTGTTCTTGCCCTCATGTTAGTGCCTTGATAGATAGTACAGATGTGTCTGTTTTGCTTCAGACAAACTGTAATTTATTATTTTGTTCCGACTCTGAAGCAGAATCCCAGGCATCCAGGGTGCCCTTGGATAAAGGGTAGGTAGGTATCTAGGTGGAACAGCTGTCATGGAAGGGAAAATGAAATTTTCAAACGGCCCATGACTTGAGCTATCCAGAAAAAACAGGCTCTCTTGCTGCAGGTGAGACTTTATTTTTCTTTTGGTTCTGAATGCATGTAGTGTATCACACAACTGTCTAAAATAATCCTGCAGAGAGTGAATTTAAAAGTGAATTTCATGCATGGGATCAACCCCCCAAAACTGGGGTAATTCTTGGTAGTAGGACAGGTTTAAAGGCTTCAAAGATCTCTAGTTTAACTGCTCTGGGAAGAGATCACATCTGTGGACTGGGGGTCACAGAAGGGTCCAAAACGTCCATAGATGTCCTTAGCCCGGACCGCAAAGTAGTATTTGCTGCCAGACACAAACTGCGTAAGAGTGCATGCCATAGGTAGTGGGAGGGCCTTCACTTCCCCGATCTTCTTCCACTGAGAGGGCATAGTGGCACTTGGGTCCTCGTGGTAGGCATAGAGATGGTAACTGTCCACAGTGGCACAGCTCCGGTCTACCTCCATGACACTCCATGACAGCACAATACCATTCTGGCTCTGTACCCGTGCCAGCTTCAGCTGTGGCTTTTGAGGCAAAGAAGTGTTGGCAGCTTCAGGGGGCAGACGTGGTGGCTGTGGTGCCTCCGGGAGTGGGGCAGGATGTACAGGGCGTGGTGGCTCCTAGGCAACATAAGAGCAATAAGGGAAAGGTCAGAGTCTACGGCAGCGGAAGGAGGCTTTAATTCATCGCTCCCTAGGCAAATGGGAGCAAATGAGCCTGCAATCACCCAACCATCACAACTCCAAGTCCCGTGTGCAGAAAGCACACAGGCAAGAGAGCAGCAGCAAAGGCTGAGAAGGGGTGCGACCAAGGATGCTGTAAGTTCTTATTATTCGCATATAAAATCCCTAGCTGTACAGATGATCATTGCCACAGTTATTTCCCTATATCCTCTTTGCTTCCCACCCAAGAGGTGATGGACTGAACACTGTGCCTTTTACCAAGACTGAGCAGGCAGGTTCACAATGACTTTGAGCTAACCTACATTTGAGCTGCTGTTCCCACATTACTCAAAACACCCCAGCGGTGGATTAAGCTGACAACTCATCACCTTTTCAACAGGCAGGTTTTCAGTCACAAAAGGTAGAACGGGTAACAGTGCCATGTGGATTTTATCACCTTCAACTGATCACAAAAGCTCAGCGTCAGTTTCCAGAAAATTTTGAAATAAGGGCACAAATGTGGCTTTCCTTTTTTTTTTTTAATATACCACAGAAACAGTCCTGGGTCTCTCATTTATGTTAGTTAAGATGAATTTAGGTATGTGGTTACAATGTGTACAAAATTTTGTTATTCTTCAAGCCAGGGGCCTTTCAGATTGGAATCTAGGGTAGTTTTTGTCAGCTTAAGTGTTCTGTATGATATTGGCTTGATTTATTCTCATTATTTATCAGTGGAGAATGCACAAAGTTGAACGATGTCTAGATTGAAAGAATGGTGAGCCACCTTGTTGGCAATATATTTACCATTTCAGGATATCACAAGTGATGTGACTGCCCAACAGTGAGTATGCAGGCAATATATTTGGATCAGTCTCAACAATAAAACCATATGAAATGAGTCAGAGTAAATTCTCAAATACTTACAAAAAGGGGTTTGAGGTGATGCAGAGGCAATCACCTCCAACAGTGATTAAAAAAACCTCTGAAATTTGGGAGTTGGCAACCTTGAGGATCTTGTCTGTACCTTGTTCTCCTACCTCAGTTTTGCAAACAGCTGTACTGAGAAACTGGTCATCCACTTCATAGCCAAACCATGACTAAACTTTAGTGGCAGTTCTTCTGTACCCTTGACTCCACAAGTCACCTGCAGACAATTCATGCACCGTTTTTCAATATGTGCTACTGGTGATCTGGAAAACTCTGGGGTAAGCTAACAGATTGTATAGCTTTCACCATTCCTGGCAGAAGTTGCTGTATGTGATAGGGTGGTGCTATGCACGTGAACTGGCTGCAAAGTGTCTAAAAGGCATTTCAGTATTCTGCAGTTCACACTAAGAACCAATCTGAAAGACATTAATGCAGGGACAAACCTGTAAATTGCATTAAGTAATTTCAAAAGGACTACTTACAGCATGCACTTGTGGTGGTCGATGATGCACTGTAAGCTGAGGTGCTCCAGATCCAAGAGTTAGTCCATTGTTCACAACATACGCAGCTGTTTGAGGCATTCGTACTGTCATACCTATAAGAAGCACAGTAAATACTTTGAGTATTCAATACTTAAAATCAGCTAAACAGAACACTGGAAGACCAACTCCTTGGTTCAGTTGGATGACACCAAATTTCAAACTGACACACTCTCCTCAAACTGCCAGCAAACTGATGAAGTACTGCACAACAACAAAACCACCTCCTATCCCCTGAAGCTGTAGAAGTGAAAGGGAGCAAGTGTTTATGTCTGCAGAGGGGACAGAATGATGTTTCAATAATTTGTAGCATGAAAGAAATGGGTGGGGAGGAGAAGTGTGGGAGATACAGGGACCTTCAGTATGAAAAGAAATACTACATCACTTTGGTATTCAGAAAGGAAAAGATAAATGCTGCTACAGCAGAATGATATCCACTCAGTATTCAAGTGCCAGAAGGCTGTGCTGTGGATGGCACCGAAAGCAAAAAAGATACACCACTGTCCAAGAAGCTTGTCCTCCCTCACAGAACGGACACCACAATGGATGATACTCACAGGCGTTACCACTTCATTCATTCCCACAGCAAACTGACCTGACTGGCAGTAATAAACTAGGTGATTTTATAGCCTTGTAGATGATATCCAGAACTCTTGCAAACTACCAAGTTTTCATTAATTTTATACTACATCTCAGTCTCTTAAGTAATGTTTTGTCCGTTTACCGTTGGAACATGTATGTTCTGCGAGCTCAAAGCTTTTGCTCATTGTTATGGGTTGCCTAGGGTGTCCCTCTATTCTGTCTAGAAATACAAGATTTGGGGCAATCTCCACCACCCCCTAGTTCCACACTTGTATGAGATCAAAGCATTCTAATACTCCAGAAGAGAAGCTTGCAGAGCAACATGTCAGGAAATCACAGCTACTGTATGGTAATTTCTTCTCTATATAAACAATGATCAAGCTATGATCATAGGTGATGAGTGTCAGAAGGCTATGTAATCTGTGAGTCTGAGGCAGGGAGCTCAGAGTGCTAAATCTTAATGCTTTTATAATAAAGTGCTGAACTCTAGGTAGCTGCTTCACATCTTTTTCCTATTGGCACATCTATCTAAGAAGCCAATGAAGCTGTGCAAACTCCTGTAGGATAAACCGTCACCCGAACTGTGTATTTCTCATCTACGGGAATCCAATCAGATATGCTGTTTTAGCATGACTGTGATTCTATCTCAGGAAATTACAATAATCTGAAGAAAGATGGACAGGAATGCCTTAATAAGATATAAGGTACAAATTTACCATTATTTCTAGGTAGGTATGCTACTTAGTTGAGGTAGAAGTACAAAAGTACAATTTGCAGAACACTTTGGATGAGTTCTCAGTTAATCTTTCAAAGACAAAGTACAGAGATCTTACTCCTGTAGCATCTGCTACTGACACTAAAGACTGCTTCAATGATAATATAAACAAATACACATCAGTAGCAGCATTTCTGAAAGCTGTATAACAAAGATGGTGAAAAATGTAGAATGGACTAAAAGATGAAAACTCATGACAGTTAAAAGGGATCAAGAAACACGATTGCTCTTTTATTAACAATACGTGAAACCTCTCTACCTGGTATGCAAACATGAAGCCTTGAAATAATCTGTATTCTAACTAAACTGGTCCTTTATCTACTCAGGCTAACCATCTGGCTTCCTAGTCCTGAGGTACAGGGAATGCACAATGCTATGGAGAAACCGACATTTTCTTACGTCTTATGTGGCTTGTCAGACAATAGTACTGTATAATACACAGACATACTTTTCAAGCCAGAGTAACAGAACTGCCTCTAATAGAATCACAGAAAAGTCCAGGTTTGAAGGGACCTCTGGAGATGATCTGGCCCAACCTTTTGTTGAAAGAATGCTCTTAGATTAGGTTATTCAGGGTCTGGTCAAGCTGAATCTTAATTATTTTGGTGGAAACCTGCCTTGATTTCTGAGAATTTGTAAGCAGACAACTGAAGGAAAAGCATTCATTGTATCACTGGACCATCAGGTCAGAAGCACATTACACAGAGATCTGTTGTTAGATGACTTTGCCCGAAAAACATGAATTCCCTCATTGAGTTCTTCTAGAAAAGGCCTTAATAGCGTATTACCTATTATATGTTCTTCAACACCACATTAATTGTCTTGCATGTCTAACACTAAAAGGTATTCTGTAGATATTAATAGTAGTGATGTGTATTTAGTCATAATAACAGCTCTAAGAAGTGGTAGATTCTGATAAAAACATGTATTTTATATTTTGGTACAAAAGAAGAAAATACTATTAAAAATAATTAACGTAAGTGAATGCATGGTTAAGTACTCAAAACTCCTTTCAAAACAACAGATAGATCACACATGTCTAAGTTGTAGCTAAGGGTAATGATGTGGGCTGAGGTTACCTTGCCTTTCATGACCTTTTGCCAACAGGAACGCAAGATGCAGACATGCCCCTCAAAAGATACTGCTGGTCAGAAGAACCTGAACTCAAATGCACGTGGCACAAGAGTGTAAGTTGTTTAAGAAGTATGAGCAAGTACTCTGAGAAGAACAGCAATTTCCTCATACCCTGACATTTCACAGAGATTGCTCAAGAACTGTCTGATCAACTTCTGTTTAGCTAGCACAGCTGACTTTTCACAGCCTATGGCAATGCAGCTGAATCCAGTCGTAAGAGATACTTAGAATTAAATTGCTACAAGCATACATGGATATTCTCCTTTCCAAAAACTATCGTTTCAGAACAATGAATCAATTATTTCTGCACAAACTTACATAGGAACAGTCTTACATGGCTCACGAATGCAGTGTTCCAAGTCTGGCTTATACAGATGGTGTCTAAAAAATCACTCCCTGGACATCACAAAAGTAGGCTCATACTCAGTGCACCAGAACAGGGAAACTTATGTTTAACGTAACAGCGTTAAAATAACCACAGTGTAGAAATTGTGAAGGGCTAAAAAAAGGCAGTTAATACCCACCATTTTGTAACAAAATTTACCCTTTTTTAGTTTAGTTAATACCCACCATTTTGTAACAAAATTTAACTTTAACGTCTTTATTTTTGACATCTACTACTCATTTCAGAAAATGAGTTTACTGCTATGGGAAGATACCAGTTACACATTTGCAAAGTCAAGATGAACTTGCTGACATCTCTAGTCAAGGAAACTCAAGCATGCATCAATTTCTGATATATTTGGTGATAAATTTCATCTGTCCAGGCCTAGAGAAAATAAGAAAATTTGCTGGGCACAGGACATCAGAGATTGTTAAGGAATTACATTAGGATGCCTAACATGAATGTAACTTTTAGACAGGAAATGGAACCCAATTTACTACATACTTTTATGTTTTAGTCTTACTCCATAATAACAAAATGGTCTCTAACTATCTTTCTACAAAACAGTGGTGCTCATCACATTACATTCCACTACCTTGGTAAAGTATTGGGCATGTCATCCAGAGATGCTTAATTGGCAGAGCTAGTACCTGAAATGACTTAAATCCAGTTTTTCCTCGTTCACATAGCTGCAGAGGGAATGATTTCTTAATAGCCTGAGATTTTCTCAAGTCTGTAAGCTGGGAAAAAACCCTAACCTCTATAATTTGGATTAGTATTGTTAAAAAAAAAAAGCAAACAAGAAACACAAAACAAAAAACCAAACCCCACACCCATCAGGTAGAACATATCAAGCTGCGTCGTGCTAAAATGTGCATGGAAGAAAGCATCCCTTACCTCCAGTCTGTGGGTTGACTGGCCTTAAACCTGGGCTTGGCATGACAGCTCCTCTTACAGGATTCTGAGCTGGTGGTGCAGGAAGACTGGTATAGACCACCTGATGGTTAGCAGGGGCTCTTGGTATAGGAAGTTTTGCAGCAGTTTGAGTCACTGGCCGATGTGTTACATTCACTGTTGTCGGAGCTGGAAAAAGACAGACAGACCACAACCTAGAACGGAATTCCATGACATTAAGCTGATATGCCTGTTCCAGAGTACACACCTCCTTTGGAAAACTGACTCGTCTGAGCCATGCAAAATAAAAACTGTCTCTGTGAAATTCTATCTGCTTTTGATAATGCAAGAAAAGAGAGAACAGCCTAAGCAAACAGTAATTTTCACCTGAAATCATAATGCCAATAGATATACAGATTCCAAATAGAAAAGATAAACATAATACCACCCCCCCAAAAAAGAAAGAGGTCCTGAACGTAGGCACAGCTGTGGAGAATATAAAACCCACCACCAAAGAGTCTGTAGAACAGATCAGTCATAAGACAATTCCAGTGCCAACTAATCTTCAACAATCATCTACAGAAGGAGAGAGTAAAATAAAGAAAAAAAAGAGATCTATGTTTATGTTAGAAAGAAGGGGGTGGGGTGGGGGTGGGGGTGGAAATCACACTTCAGACAAAATAACATTTAACTAGGGATGGAACTTAAATGACAGCCTTGCCATTCACTCTGCCAAAAGGTTTAATTGCCAAGTGCAGGTGGACAGAGCTAGGAGTGATGCTGCTAATGTTTTTTTCCCCGTTACTTAAGTAATGCAACTGCTACAGGTTTCTTCTCCTTGACTTTTAAAAACAATAGCGTATTTAATAATTTCCATGACCATCCTTAGCAGGATTTCTTCCTCTCCATGGAGTAAATTTGATCCTGAATTCTTTCCAAACCAACAGGACTATCTTCCCCTTTCACTTCATCAGTTTAAAAAAAAAAGTTATGGGAAGCTGACTAGAATGGAAGATTAAGAAGCGACTCAAACATTCTGAATATTCACCTGAAAAGATTAGCACAATGTAGAACACACAAGAGTCTAGTTTAAGAAAAAAAGCAGTCACTGCATTCACATAATGATGTAAAATGAAGTTACCTGTAGGTAATACATGTATGGTGGTCTGGGAGGGTCCACTTGTTGGCACACCTGTCTGCTGCACAGGGTTTGGCTGCAAAGGCTGCAAGGGTCGAGCCAAGGGCTGGGTGGATATGCTCAATCCTGTAACAGGTGTCTGGTTCTGCTTCTTGCCATCTGCTTTAAAACAAAATAAAGTTATAGACAATAGCAAAGGAAATTAAAACATCAGAGGTTTTAAATCTTTTCTCCCTGTCATTCACAGATTAGCAAAGAATATTTCCTAGCATTACATTTCTTTGATCTTTTCATTCTGCAAACAAAACTGTAGAAAATTCATTCAATTCCCCTCACTTTCATCATCTCAATCTCCCCCCTCCCCCCACTCCATAACATTTCATTCTGTCATCATGAAGTCTGTGTATCTCAGCATAATTTGGAAACCTGAATCTAATGGAACACTATACCAAAGTCTTTAAAAGTTTCTATTAAAAAAAGAATACCTAAACCTTAAAAAGACCTAAACACTGCTGTACTCAATTTGTTTCAAAAAACTGATAGAGCTCCCTAAATAAATCTTGTCTACCTTTGATGCTTACATCCTTTTGTTATTTACTCTTTCCTTTGTTCAATCTGTTAGTCAGCCCTGATTGTTGCTGTTTTGAGTTTTCATGCTATCTTCTTAAAAAAGGGGAATTGCTTTATTATTTATGGAAAACTTTAAAAAGAGAATTTAAGTTGTTTTCTCACATTGACACCCTCCTCAACATGACTTACTGACTTATGAGAAGTGACAAATAGTGTCTGTATCTGTAGTTTACTACAGCAATATTTTTTCCTGCTTTAGTTTATTTGTGACAACATAAAATATTCATTTGAGTGCAAGTCTGTATGTAATCAAGCCTGTGCATAAGTTGACTAAAGAGGAATTGAGAAGCTTTTGCCTGGTATTTCATCTAGATTAGAATAGTAGTGGGCAGAGAAGGCACCACCAAAAACTAAAAAACACAAGATAGAAGAGTAGGTTTTAAGGGCACTCATTCAAAAAACATTTGCCCTAATAAAATTGTACATGCAGCAGCCACTAATTTAGTGAGCGCACAATATAAAAATAAAAGATACGTTAATACGTATTTTACTTGAGAAAACATATCAACAATATATTGAAGAACACATTTAGAAACTATAAATTAAGTATACTAACTAGATTTCAAAGCATTAAGAACAGGGTTAATGGCAGCGTAGCTCAAAATGTTGAGTTTTTTAGCAGTTGGAGACTATTTTGATGGTTTCACTGAGCTGTCTTTAACACCAGCTACTAATAGCTTGAAGTAGCAGTACTCTTCACAAACTGCTATATGATAAATTAAATACAATGCAAGACCTCAAAAATAAAATACAATATAAATTGCAGACCATATTGCCTTTCTGTAGGCTGAATAGCCGAGCTACTTCACTGAAGTCATTTGATGAAAATATAATTTTCTTTTCTTTCTTTTTTCAACGTCAATAAAAGGAGCAGTAAAGGGATGCTCATTTTGAAAACAAAAGGTGAGATGTTTCCTGCTCTTTCATCAACTAACAGGTCTTGTGATTAGTTCAAGCTTCTTTTATTTTCCATGAGTATGAGAGATTTCCCAGTGTTCAACATATTATTTGACTCTGAAGAGATTCCTACAGAGATGCATACACCTGTTTACTTTGAGTATTTACAGATTGATGAACATTTCAACTGCCATTGGATAATTTAAGTGATGCGAGCGCATTCTTAGTCATGACCTAGAGAAGATGTGCTCATGATACAACTAGTACAAACCCAGATACACTACTGCTGTAAAAATGTAGTTCAAGTAAAAATGACAGTCTGCACAAATGTGAGGGCTTTTTTTGGTTTTGCTTTTGTTTTTAATCTCACACAGAAGCAAGTTCATTTGTCCTTGACAAATCAAGAGCCCTGTGGAGATTCCAGTTGCTGGAAACTAGGTCAGGATTGTACCAGCCACAGGAAATGATGAAAGATAACCAACTAGATTTTACTAAATAAATGGAAACAAATAGCAAAGGCTAATTTAGCTATGTAATTAAAAATTCAGCAAGGAAAACAGGAAGACTGGGTGCATAGTAAGCACGGGACTAAGGTTAAAAGTAATATAGGAACAGTTCCAATGCTAAATGAACACAGCATCATATTCATTAAAAATGTGAACTGGAGGAGACAGGACAATCCGATTTATGGAAAGGAGCATAAAGTGGAAATCGTTACTACTGGAGGTGTAAGCAAAACTCTAAATCTAATACACAAAATGGAAAAGAAGAGGGGCTAATTTCTACGCCAGAAAATGGGCCTACAACACTGCAGTTATAGCAGGAAGAAGTTTTAATCAGCATATTAATTCAGAAGTGGTATAATGGGATTACAGAACAGCAAACATACTGTACGCATGTTCAAGAATAAGACAAAAAATGATCCAGAAAACTCCAGATTTGTTAATCAAGCAGCTTATAAAATAAAAAATTGATACTGTCTATATTTAATCACATTTTTCCTAAAAAGATAAATGCAAAAAAAAGTGGAACATGGCTGTTTTTGAGAGTACACTTCTGTATCTTTCTTAGATTACAAATCCACTTTAGACTAGGGATAGGTATTAGCTAAATCTATTAGTTGTTTTAGTATTTTTATGAAATAATTTGATGCAGTGCGCTACACAAATATTTAATAAAAAGGACAGCAAGGGGACTGTACAAGTATTGCAAGATACTTGCAGACAGAAAAGTATCTAGATTACCCTTTGATAAAAGGATGAATACATTTGTTCTGAACAGAAATTAACACCACGGTTTCTCAAATGTTACGCAAAATTTTCATTAATAATTTTTGCACACATCAGAAGGTGTGCACTAAATTTAGTTGCCAGTGTACTAAACTGGAAGATGCTACCAGTATGGAGGTGGACCAAAATACCACACAGGAACAAAGCTGAGACTTGAGAGCTAGAAAAAAGAAGATGATAGCAGAGTGTGCAACATCAGCCATTTCGGAATTGGTAAGAACTTCTACTATTAATGTGGGAAATCTCATGTGGGGCAGTGAAGATGATCAGGAGAAACCTGCATATGTTGTTGATTACGGAATGTCTGTGCATTGTTTGTCTGATAAAGTAAAGAAGAGAGGAAATGCAAATCTAGGCTGTATTGGGTGAGTGTTTCCACAGTGTGACGGTAATACTTCCCCCCCGTGAAGCACTATTCGAATGCAAACTGCTGTATATAAAAAAAAAAGGGGTTGGACGTTAGAGACACGTGTTTCTGTGTTAATAGAGGAGTGGGGTTTCAAAACGCCAAACCAACAGTTGTTGAAGGACAGCTACTCTGTTTTGTAGGAGTACTGTGTCCAAACCCAGTGAGTCAGCACATGATTAGAGGCTCTAGTCACTATAAAAAAACCCCCAAACACCAACAAACAAAAACCAACAAAAAACCACCACCCCAAAAACCAACCAACCAAAAATCCCCCACCCTCAAAACCATGATTAGCCCTTAAAAATAATGCACAGGGTTTTGTCTATCTACCATGACTGAAGACTGGGCTTAATTACAGTTAATACCGGTCTGCCCTTCCATGACCCAATACAAAACCTCTGATTTCAGTTTTATAACCTCACAAAACAAAACACCTAAAAATTCCATAGTTCTTAAGCTAAAGTTTAAGTCTAATTTACCCTATATGCATACTTTGGTATACAGTATTACAGATATTAATTTTAATTATTGATCCAAATGGAAATGTCACTGGGAAAAGGAAGGGATGGAGATTAGATTACATGAACAAGTTTACAAATCTACCACAATGTAAAAATTTATTCTCAACCCGAATCTTTAGTAATTTCAACGAACAAGGACACACATTGTAGTTGTATACTACCAAAATAGCGTAACTGTTTCCTAGTTGTACTAGGAGAGATTTAAAGGGAAGCACATGATAGACATCTCTCTCCAGACATTAACATCTATTGAAATACCTTTTAAAAGTAACAGAATTAGGTTTACTTAGTATGTGGCTGACAGCGCTTTAAACAAAATAATCAGGATCTGAGTGTTCTTGGGAACACTAGATAGGTGTTGCTCTTCTATTTGAATTAGTACTGAACTGATATTCCAGCATACTGCAGTAAACACCATAATGCTGGAGGTACTTTCTATCCTGAGGTTGTGTACCAATAAATCTAGAACAAAACAGAGGTTGCTCCACATTCGCTGTAAACAAAGTTCAGTAAAAAAAATTTGGCCAAAGGTATAGACATACTTATGATTATGCAAAACCTGTCAGAAGCGTACTTTTCCTCTGTTTAATGTGAATGTTATTATCAGAATGTGTGAATTATTTCCCAAGAAACTTGCTCAAAGTCCTAGAGGTGTGTTTTCACTGCATGGTGAAACTCAAGCTTTTATTAGGGTTTTAGCCCATACATTTCTACAGCTTATATGAAAAATACTGACTCCTCACACAAAACTCTAGACAAACTAATCTGCAAGGCTGCAGACTGTCAGTGAGAGTCTGGCTTCTGCTTCGCAGTGAAGAGACACACAGGAGCTAAACCAGCCTGAAAGTACTTAGAGAAGCATTCTTCTAGTTGCACATGCAACCATGGTGTTGATCTTTTATGGTAACTGTGAAGTGAAGGCGTATTTTATGCCATCAGGGAGGAAAAAACTCTGAGTTTACTTTTGATAGAAAAAGTTTAGCTGAACTACATTACAATACCGTGACATGCTACTTTAAAACATACCATAAATCCATTTAGATCTGTTGGTGTCTTTTACGGAATATTAAATAGGACTGGGTAGCTTAACCTTACCCGATAGAGTTCCACAGTCCAAGTGCAACCATCTTTTTCATCTTTTTGAGAACTAACCCTCAGAAGATATGACAATGGTGAAAACTTGATTCCCCATGCTATTCTGACACTCACCTATGCAATTCACAGAATCATCAAAATCCTGGACAGAAAGGACCTCTGGTGGCCGTGTAGTCCAACCTCTTGTTGAAGCTGGACTGTCACCAACACTAAAATGAGTTGCAGTTTTGCCTAGCTGAATCTTGAGAACATTCAAGAGTGGAGTTTCTACCATCCCTCTGTGCTGCACTACCTTCCTACTGTGATTTCTTTTCCCCTCAAGCTCAACCTGAACTTCCTGAATTTGTAGTTCACGGCCACTGCCCCTTGATACATCATCAGGCACTGCTGAGAAGAGTTGTGCTCCATCATCTTTGTAACTATCCTCCAAGTAGATATAGGCTGCTATTACATTGTCTCTCAGTTTGCTCTTCGCCAAACACGCCACGGTCTGTCGATTTCTTCTCACAGGTCATGTACTCTAGGTCCCCACCATCCTGACACCATCTATTGGGCCCTCTCCAGTGCTACCACAACTCTTCTGAACTCAAGGAAGGGGGAGCCAAAACTTGAACACCGTATTTCAGGTGTGGTCCCATTAGTGTCAATGTGGGGGGAATACTAACTTAAATTTAAATGAGAACACACTGTTGGCTCATACTCAATTCTGTGTCCACCATATATCCTCCTCTGATAAAAGAACCAGACTGTCAGCTATCTGAATTGCGTAATGCTTCTCTAATAATTGTGTACCACATGAACTCCTTTTGGTGGTAACATTACATTTCTCCCTCACTGAAAGAAATGCTACCACATCCCAGTATGATTTTCTACATTTGTGTAATACAAACACAGAGCAAATCAAAATATTAAGAATGTATGTGTAGAACTTGAACGCACTAGCTAGAGAGACAGCTACTGAGGTTGTCTAGAGGAATCAAACTTCTTGGTGGCTGGACTTCAGAGTGCAGCACAAGGGCATGCATTTAGAACCACGCAGAATTAAGATTTTATCTCTAATAGTAGAAATACCAATTTTTCAGTTAAGATGACAGCGCAATACATAATCTTAAGTACAGACTCTTACTACTTCTCTGAAACACTATAATTCTTCACTAATCCAATGCTAATTATAATTAGACCTGCCTACAGTTACACAAGACATAAAAAACCATATTCTTTTAAAAGATGGAAGTGCATCCACACTGCCAAAGGATGTAAGAGCACAACTATATTTACTCTAATCTTGGCATACAGTCCCAAAGCAAAGAACAGGTCTGCATTTGGTATCTAAACTCTTGCACACAAAGTTTTTTAGTTAAACAAAAGATGAGAAGCTGTAATAATCTAATGCCTGAATACCAACTGTAGAATCAAAAGGTCTTTAATTGATCAGTAAACAGAAAAATTAAATATATCTAGAAGAACTTTCCAAAATATAATAAAGAATTCAAACATCTCAAATTATTCCACGAGCCTAACAGATTTAAGCATAGACAGCAACAATGCTTAAATTAAGGGAAAGGTAAAAATCTTAGAGACTGTTTTACAGTAAGTAGAATTCCTTTTATTTAAGGCCTATCAGAATTCTTTAATAACAGTCCTGTTTAACTGAAACACCAAGGAATAAAATACACTAAGCAGAAACAGAAGTTCATTCCTTCCTCTCATTCAAGGGATGAAACAATACTTGTAGCTCAATTACCCCTGCAGCTAGAAAAACCTACCTTGAGAAGAACCATCATCCTCTTCATCCAGTGTAAGATCAATGACACCTCCTGAATCGCTTCCTGTGACCTTCCCGCTCTGAAAGACAAAACTCCTTCATTTTGCAAAAGCAAATCCAGGGAACACAGGCGGAAAAGGGATACGAATTGAATATTGAGAAGGAGAGGTCTCAGAATTGATGCACTTATTAGAAAGGAACTGATGAAATGAGCAGGAGGAGGAAGTTTCAGACCAATTCCCCAGGACTTGAAAAACAGGCAACAAACAAATGACTGTATTGCGGTATCAAATATTAAAGAATTTTTAGCTTTGTAAGGAGTAAAAAACCCTGATGACCAGTAGCATATTGTTATTTTACAGGTAAATAAATAACAATTTGGTGTTATAGACTATCTTTCAATTATGACTCAATATTTTAATCCGGTTGTAACCTGTGCTTTCCTCTATAGTAGTATGACCTTTTGACAGAACAGTCACCAGGACAATATATTACTTATCTTGAGACAGCTCGGCCTGTGTGCCTATAAAGAAATTGACTTCACAATAAGAAAGAGACAGTTAGACTGGAACCTGTATGCTTATAAAACATGTCATCAAAAGCCATCAGAAAACTCCAATTGTATCCAGCTTTTTAAAGTAATTTCATTACTCTATTTTTATCAGTTATCATAAATTTTAGCATTCTGTTATTATACATATGAAGCCATTTGTAACCATCTCTTTAGAGAGGATAAAGGGATCTTTTAAGCTATTGTGAAGGCTAAATGTTTTTAAAAAAACCTAGAGGACCATCAAATAAGATTTATCTTCTGGATCAATCGCTGTCCCTTGGCTGTTCAGACTGGAGGGACCACCATTTTCCCTTAGGTTATGGAAAAAATACTGGGGGAGGTCCTATATATTTCTGTGTTTTTAAATATACTTCCTAGGAAAAAAATCTTGAATGATGTCGATTTCTAGTTCCTTAAACTTGCTGCAAAAATTAGGCTTTTTTTGGTTTTGTAGAAGAGATGATAATTTATTGTTGGACTGAACTGCTACCGATTTATGGATTAGAGTCAACCAGGTTCCTTAGGACAGACAAAGGGTTAGGAAAGCAACATAATTATCAAAATCTCTGAACAATTAACATGGAAAAAAACATTAGAGTTGTTAGCCCAACATGGCCTGTACAAATGCCAACACGATAAATCCTGGTAAGATTAGAGATTTTTCTATACAATCTGATAGGGACAGATGCAAAAAGCCTAAGGACTGAGATTACCTGCTCTATGACCTTTCATTGGGGTGAAACCAAGCCTTTAAGGAGATCCTAAAGACAATTCTCACACAGGCAAGGCTTTGAGGAGAAGGAAAAGACGTATCGTATGATTACTAAATTCAAACAAAGGCTGTGTCCAAATTATTGGTCACTGAATTTGGAGTGCCTGACATGACTGATCTTTTCATTATACATTATTACAAGCCGATTTCTTCTTGCCTTAAGTTCTGATGCTGCCACTGACGAAATTCTGCTAATAACCTACGTGATATACAATTTGAGTAAGAAATATCTAACTACTTATGTTCACAGGCGACAGAAGAGACCTCTATAGGGACTCTTTGCTATACACAGAGAAACATCTTTCAGATTTATTAACCATGGAATTCTTCTGTTGAGTGATTTCTATTTCAAAGACTTTCCAGCTACAGTTTTCTTAGTATGATGAGCTGATTTACGCACTTGAAGCTTAAGATAAAAGGCACATTCAAATAATCAATGATTACTTGATTAGCATAAAGTCAAGAGGAATTTCATTCTAACTTGATAATCTTCCCAGTCAACGACGTGTATTTTGAACTATAGCGCTGCCAGGAGAAAGCAGACTGAAAAATGGAGGAGGAGATTTATAAGGAACTGAAGAAAGAAAAAGCTAAGCTATTCATTTCTCCCCACTATAAAATACATTAGGCTGAAGTAATTTCCTTTCAATTCTTCCTCCACAAGAAAATCTAAATCCTTAGAAAAATACTCTGTATGAGAGCTAACTGTTTTGAAGCCCTACTTAACTGTGCCAGTAAAGAAAGTTCTTTGAGTTTCCAAGTCAGCAAGTGTCACTGCACATATTTTTTATTTTGGTGTGTCTGGAAGGCCAAAATCTTGAGTTAAACACGCAACTATTAAATGACAAATCCAAACAGCTGACAAGGTCTCATACATGCACTTCTCAGGAGGAAAGACCTTCTTGTAGTTAGCCACGCTATTCAAGGTTTTCTACTAAACAACCCTGGTAGCAATCTCCTCAACAGGAATTATCCATAAGTAGTTAGGTTCTTTCTACAACCCACACTAGAAGTTGCAGATCTGCAGGGCAGTGTTTTGAATAGTGCTCTGTGGTACATCCGCTAGTCCTGGTTCCAGGGCAAACGCTCCAGCTACTCCAAGAAGATGGTGTACTGCACACACAGCACTCTCTGAAGTCCTGACTCCCCAGCCGCCCCAACTAGATTCCTCTAGTTCACTGACCACGCATCTCCCTTGAATGAAATTTAGGGTACATGAAAATTTTAAGGAAACCTGAAACACTGAAAATGCTGCACATTGTGTTTCCTACCTAGGAGGGAATGGTGTAGGAGTATTGTCACTTACCACCTGAATGGTTAAGACCTACAAATGGAACCATTTGGAATCATCCCTGCCAAAAGCAACTACTAAATGGTTTTCAGAAAATACTGTGCCCAACCAATCAAGAAAATAAAAACACCCCTTTTGAGTATAACAACTATTTTACTCAGAAATTCTCTCAGGGAAATTTTTGTTGCTACAAGGACTTGTGAAAACTCCAGTTTACAACAGAGCTATGTTTGAAGAAAGGCTAGAGAGAAACAACTGCTATTGTTTCTGTAAATAGAAGGGAATGGGATTCTGAGGAGGAGACTGCCATGTCACACATCAGAAGAGATTCAGACATGCTGCTCTGAGCAAAATCAGAAACCAGCTTAAGAACGCTCGCAGCCCTGATGAAGGCAAAAGGAAGCCTGACATTGGACTTTCAAGTCATGTATGAACAACCTTCACATTTATGTCAAAAATTGAAATAAGAGAACAAGTCTTTCAGCTCCTAATATTCAATTTCAGCAAGCGCTTGGGCAGAAACTGCTAACACAGAAAAGCAAAGTCAAGGCATTCTGGTCTGCTATCAGTTTTCAGCTTTCTCCAAACACAGGAGGCCAAGAACCTGAACTTGTTTCAGCTGATCTCTGCAGAAGAGCAAGATGATGCAATCATAACACCTTTTCATCAGTACCATCACACTAGTGAAATAATTAAAACCATTTAATGAGAACCCAAAACATATGCGTGGTGCTTTAGTTCACATACTGCCTAGCAAGTCTGAATAACAAAGATTCAGTCACCTTAGAATATCAAATAAGCTGGAACAGAAACAAAATAACCACAGTAATAGGAAGTGATCTCTATCTATTTAAAGATCACAGTTACAAAAAACCCAAAGCAAACAAAACCACAATCCCCAAACCCACCATTTCATCATTTGTCAGAACCAGAGCACCAGTCTCCAAACAGACCAGAAGCGGCACTTAAATCTGATTGTTTACAACAGCATCTGGGTAGTTTCTAGTAATCAAACAGAAAAAAGTTTACATTGAGATTTAAAATAAATGTAAACTGCCAAACTCCCTTTTCCATCCTTCTTAACAGCTCACGTGTGTTGATGTATATGCCTTTAAACTCTGAGTAAGTAGAAATCCTCCAAAATACTGTCATTCACACTGCCATTTTGGACCTGTTTTATCCATAGCTGATGAGGTAACTTTGTACAACCTGGAAGTAGTAACATCACGAACTGAACCATCCAGGTAACCACAACTGTATCTGAGCTGCCTTAGTTTAAATCTTTCTCTGCTTTCACATAGCAGCCAGCAGTGTAACAATTTTAACTTAACACAAAACAATGCAACGAAAAAAGTAAATTAAAAAGGAAATTAAAAATTAAACCTAACAAATCCTACTCTGAAATGTCACAGTTTTAAAGATGAACATGAAAAAAATTTTTAGCAAGAAAGCAAGAAAAATACAAGACTTCATCTTTTCCTGACTTCCTAATTTTAATATAGTCACATCTTTATTCTTCATCTAGTCAGTGAACTTCCATTTGCAATTAAGATGTTTTGAATAAAAACAATATGTCCTGTAACAGAACATTTCATACTTAAGTCTAATGTAGATCCAGCCCAAGAAGATGCACACAACTTAGAGCTGAAAGGCAAAACACTAGATGAAGTGTGGGAAGAGGACTGCAAGGTATGATTAACAGCAGAAACAAAGGTGAAAAAAGGAAGCAGGAGGAGGAAAAAAAAGGAGCAGGGGAAAACAGAATTACAAGCCAAGCAGCAGCCAAGCATGCACCACCCCAAATACAGAAGGACGGTGCGAGTGTAGGATGGTGCGAGTATAGGATGGTGCGAGTATATTGTAATGCTACTGTGTGTTTTTCCTGAAACAGTCAGTCAAGGAGTACACACTTCACATCTACAATGTTGACCTGTTTTGAAAAGTGTTTTCTTTAAAGAAAATCTTGTCAAACTGCAGGCCCTTTGCCCCAGCTTCTTCAGTTTGCAAAGTCATGTCCACACCTACCGCATTTACCAGTATGTAACTATCCCTGGGCTCTGTTCGCATGCCAAATGCCCCAGGCAAGCATCTAACTTGGCAAGTGCCAAGGAAAAGTATTTTAATGCCAGGCACGTAACTTGTGAAAGCAACAACTGAAAGACCCTAGAAGAGGGGCAAAAACAAAAGAGTAAATCCTCATCTCTTTCAAGTACCTGAGTGAAACCTGCAAAGTCCTGAAACAGAGGCTAACTCATAACCTTCTCTAAACACCACTTAGTTAAGCATGAACTGCTTTATAGTGCAGATGGAAGATAAAATAATGAAAAGTATGTATAAAATGAATGCAACTATTCAGATTTGTGCATTTTTCTCACTTAAATTATTAGAAATTGGTGTTTCTAAGTGTTCTACTAGCTGCAAAACTTTTGCTGAAAAGTAATCTATAGTACTGATTCTTCCGAGT